GGTAGGCGACGTGTAAAAATAATTACCCTGTGGTACTCCTGCAATCGTTACCTTAACATACGAAAATAAATCTTATGACTTCAGTACTCTGAATCGTATTCGTCTGGTGGATATTTGCATGAGGTTAGCAACGAATAAAGGAATGCAAAACCTTTAACTTATACACACGCAACAACTATATAAAGTATACAAGTACATATTAATGGTACGTCTTTTGCTAAAGGAACCTTGCAGTAGTACCTTCTAAGAGGAAATACATTGACATGAACCATACATTTGTATGAGCGTTTTTATAAAAAATTATCTATGTTATGAATTGAATCTTTTAATGATGACGCAACTGCAAAATTACAGTAAACTTGCACGTAAAAGAAATGGTTTTACTTCGGCTATTGATTATTATCCACAAAAGTATGCCATACTCACTTTACTATTTTATTCAAATTTTATGTTAAATTCTACAACAATAATACTTGCAAACTTAACGATAAATGCCGGACACGGCACGGTTAGAACACTGTATATAATCGATCATAATAATGATAGATATATTGCTTGTACGCCTATCAATCAGTAAATATACATAAATAACATTCACACATGTGAAGATCAATTTCTTGAACTCTACGTCTTTACATATAGAGTTGATTTTAATAGTAAGAGGCTAGTAACAGGAAGGCTAGTTCAAATGTTCATATATCGTAGCACCTTGCGACTATCACGAACAAGTGACAGCTAGCCAAGAAGTCTGAACGCAGGTGAAGTAGCGCTATTAGGATTGATGCACATTTAGGAAAGTTTATTTACGTAATAATATAGATTTTATATTTTTACATCAATTTTACTAACGGTGATGGATGAAAATACTGTTGATATTATTGTCATTGAAAAAAATGTTTATTTGTAAAAGAGAGTAGAACGACAATTATTAAATAACGTCTGTTATGTGTTCACAAAGCCATTCCTTTAATTAATTCATCCATTAAGTGTAACTAATTATGTCATAATATGTTATTGTACGTAATTCATAACAAAAACCAATGTTCTACCTCAAGGTACTATTTTCGGTCCACAATTGTTCTATAACTATACCTTTGAACTGGACAATGGCCCGTGGACTAGAACTGGTAAATGAAATGAAAAGATTTCTCGTAAATAAAACTACGAATTCAAAATCAGTCTGACCCTAGTTTTCAAATGATGACAAAGGCCAAGGCCTGGTGACAAATGTGTCTGCTGATATGTTGTATTGAATATCATCTTATGACCTGTTTGCCGATGCACCGACTGTTCAGTAATGAGAAGATGTTATACATTCACTGGTTACCTAGATTCTATGGCAACTGATTCTATTACTGATTTTTAGGCTTTTTACTTCTTTCTTTTAAGTCTGCTATAAGATACTGGCGTGAAATTTTTTATGAAGACTTTTCTTATTAATGTTGTATTCTGGTATATTTGGAGCCGAAATAAGAAATGCGTCGACAACGACAAATAGTGTGGCGTTTTATAAAGAAGCGAGTGTTTTATAAATAGCATAAACAAACGATTCATTAAATCCACTAAAATATGATTTACAGTTTCCATTAAAAATGATAAAATTAACAATTGCACGGTCTATAGAGCTACAAATATAAAGTATATGTGACACTTTTATTGCATGTTTTCTGTTTTCATCTAGATAACATTAGTCATGTTCTCTTTGATGTTTTATAGCCAAACATTTTTATGCTGGCATAGTTGCAGGCCGTTATTTAAGTACCTTCTGCTGATGGAAAGATAAAAGGCTTGATAGAAAAAATATTCCAAGTAGCCGAAATGATTAATATGTGACTCTAAATTTAGAATTGACGAAACGTAGTGACATAGAAGTTAGTAAATACAGTAATACAGTATCATATTTAAATAAGTAGACCTAAAGGAGACCAAACTTCGGAAAATAATTGGATATTAAATAAGTCAACGCACAATGGAATATAATGATCAGTAAAGAGTACTAAAAAAACCGGCCTCAAAAGTTCGTAGAATTGCATCTATTTGCCAAGTTTTATTGAAATCGGTTACCGGAAAGTGCGCGAAACCGGATTCATCCCCTAGTTTGCCACCCGTAGAGGTCGAATATTTTCTTTAAATTGAAATGGAACTACTACTGAGTTACCCTCTTTCCAACAAAAAAAGAATCATCAAAATTGGTTCACAAATGTCGCAGCAGTTATCGCATAACATACATACAAAAAAAACATACAGTCAAATTGAGAACCTCCTCCTTTTTTTGAAATCGGTTAAAAAGAGAGACCTATTCGTTGGATGCGAGCAGAGCAAGAAAGATCGTTATGGTGAAAGATGCTTAAATAAGTGAATATTATACATATACAGTTGAGATTGTTATTAATCACTTGAAGTCAGGGAAAAACGTCATAAATAATTTTGCATTACGAGAAACAAAACTCGACCGCAACCCGTATTGAACCAGCACCGGAAGAAATATATCTTTGATACAGAAGTTAAAAAAATTTAATTAAAAAAAATCATCCAAGTGTGGAAATAATCATAATAAGTATGAACAACACGATTTGGGTTTGGTGAAACAATATTTCCTTGAATGTAAATAAATAACATGCAATACAAAATTGAGTCGGACATTTTTATGAAGTGATCTCCAGACAGTCTATTTTAGTTTTCAAATTTTAGTCTCATCCATAGGTAATGCGATGTCATTCGTTTAAAATTCGACCATGCAATATGTCTAGACTGAACACAGAATATGAAATGGTCTGTGACCTAGAATTATTTGCTTAGCTGAGTTCCGTTGCTGATAGACAAGGACCTTAAACCAGAAATATTATTCTTGTTAGGTGAAATATTTAAGGTAAAAATATAAGCAAGAGTTGCTTAGGAGTAAATAGTGATTTTTTTGTTTATGGGTCCACATTTAATTAGTGCTTAGTTTAGTTTGTTGTTAAAATCTCGTTAATCATAGCAAAAACTCAAACTATAGTATTTTTTCATATTATTTAAAATATTTTCTGTAATGACTGATCTAATTTCAGCCAATTTAATAACTGAGCAATTTGATTTCTTTAGGTTTTTTATTTTTTATTGTGATGCCAAGTAACGGGACGAACAAGTCGTGCGGCTGGTGATCAGCGACACGCCTGGCCATAACAGTTGCAGTGTCACTCAAAACTTTAAATCACAACTATCTGAAGGGCATACCCACTGCGCCCGTCACCCTGACACATAACTTGAAGGTCCCATGTGCCTGCAATTTCACCAGAACCCTTACCCCTCAAAACCTGAACGCTGTAATGCTCACATTACTGCTTGGCGGCAGAAATACAGTTCTCTTTACAAGTTCCATCGTCACGACTGAAGAAACAGATTCGAAACAAAAATATTCCATTACCAATATGTAACCATCGCGAAAACCTAAGAACTATGCCCTAGTATGTAGTGATAGAAGTCTCTGTATTCGATTTTTTTATTAATAATTATAACAAACTAGAAGAGTATTTCACAAAAAAATACATGAATATCATGATAGTAAAACATCATAATATTCATTACAATCAATGTTACCCAAGAACTACTTTAAGTAAGTCCACTTTCTTCTGATTAAGTCCTATCCGCGTCTTACGACACAATTTAACATCCAGATTAGAATCACGATGTAAACGTTTAATCAATATCACCATATTTGTGAATTCACATTGAAATTCAAATGTTCCCGTATTGCCTTCATTCGTTTCGTTGCTGAACAAGGATTATGTTAAAATAATCCTGTCAGTCAGTTGTTTGTGCATCAAGCTGTCACTAACATTTCAATCGCGTAGGGTTTTTGCTGCGGCTGCACTTGTTGGCGTTCTCTGTTCTCGAATCGCATATTTATACTTTCTTAAACATCTTTATTGACGCGGGCTTGACATCTCCAGGCGGAATAAGGGAAAGTAATGGACGTTTATACTGAATCTATTAGGGTTTTATTCACGAAGTCTCAATTGTTTCGAGAATTATTAATACTTTTGATAACACATTTTATCTACTAAAGGTGGCATTAACATTTTGTTACTGTGTTTACAGCTGCTTGCAATTTTAATAATATTAACACCTTTATGTTTTCAATTGAATTCCTGATGCCGCAACAATCTACAAGTTTAAGTCATTAGTGACCGAGGCTGCTTAAATAAATATATAACAAATGACACAGTTTAATTTGGTAGACACACCCGAGACAGGCCGCGTATCGATCACAGGCCACTGGCGAGTGGCCAAAGCGGACCAAGTGGTGGGCCGCACCGTCGACACGGCGTGACAGGTGCGGCATGCAACCCATGACTTGATGCCATACCACGCGGCGGCGTACCACAGTCACGCTAGTTCCTCCTTTGAAATCCACATACCAACTTTATACTAACTACACTACGCCTCAAATGCTATGCAAATACATAAATATCATACTCAATAACAATATTCGCTAATTGTAAAAAAAATATATTCGTAAATAATTTATGATTCTAAATAGACATGAATTATAGAAATGAATATGACACAAAAACACAACGAAGGTTTAATCATTCAAATCATAGATTTTTCCGTTGGTCTTTCATACAATCCAACAAACAGGAACAAACACGTGCCAACATAGTCTTTAGAAAAGGTGTCATAATGTGGCGAGTAGCACGTTATAAATTAAGAAAAATGTGACAGGTCGGAATATAAATTCAAATTAATTGCTCAATAGTGTTTGGATTTCTGAATAGAAATCTTGTTTTGAATCATGCATGTTACCGCAAGCTGTACATCACAATCGAGCAAGCGTGGCAAGACACGAAGTCGATCGAGCCAACTATTCATTGGCGCTCAAACGGACATTCAGTTCTAAATATTAACATGCCTAACGTTTTGTGACCAGAATAATACTTAACGAACTTATGCAATAAATACTCATTCAATCATATGTCAAAGGATGAATACTTATGTCTTGTGTCATTATTTTTCAGGTACAGTAAACGCGAACGGAGAGACCAAGCGCCAGAGAACATCGTACACTCGATATCAGACACTTGAACTGGAGAAAGAGTTCCACTTCAATCGGTACCTGACGCGACGAAGACGGATTGAGATTGCACACGCGCTCTGCCTGACAGAGAGACAGATAAAGATCTGGTTCCAGAACCGGCGCATGAAGTGGAAGAAGGAGCATAAAATGGCATCGATGAACATCGTCCCGTACCATATGAATCCGTATGGCCACCCTTACCAATTCGACCTTCACCCGAGTCAGTTTGCGCACCTCTCCGCATAGGATCAGTGGAATTTTTCGAACAGCGGATAACTGATTTATTAAACTAGACAGTCGGCCGTAAGTCATGCGGGGTTGATTGTAACATCTGACTTTACTCCGGTAAGTTAGATGCTACAGCAACTAGACTGGATCAGTTATTCGCTGTCCGAAAAATTTCTAGTCTAATTTGTTGCAATTGTTGATGACACTATCAGTGGCTCTAAAATAGAGCATTCTGTGCTCGAAGTGAAATTGAGTGGACTAAGTGAAGACTTAAAAAAAGAATAAGTGCAAGTGCTAATGTTAAGAACAAATCAAGTTTATTCAAGTACCTTCAAGTCTGTTTAAGGTATCAGTAGTTCCAACTAGGTTTCCTATTCTTTTACCTTACCAATTTTTTCTGATTAATATTTGCGAACAAATTAATGAATCTCATCATTCAATATTCACATTGTTTTCATTGTAAATTCTAAAATACTATAAAGTGGTATTAAATTTTAAAGTAGAAAGAATTTTACCTAGTCATAAGCTATAATTCGATTTGCATATTCCTAAAATTGTAAGATAAAACTACTGTATACCGAATAGTATAAATTGTGGTGGCTGAGGATTGTGTTTAAAATTGTGGCTCAACATCATCATTACATGTCGTTACACTTTAATTGATATCAGTGATTGTCGCAGTGAAGAACAAATTCGGAATTGTACAGGGATTATGTAAAGTGAAATCCAAAACAACTAAGACACAAATCAATGTATCAAATTTTTAATTAGGACGAGATGTAAACTTAATTATAAATGCTGGATTAAGAAGAGCTGGAAAGAAATTCTGGTACTGAAATAAGGAATTATAAACTTATCAAACGTCTTCGTGCATCTTTGGAATCACCGTGGTAAAGCGACACGACGTCGACAGAACTGTAGCCTTGGTGTTGCGTCGTTTATTTAAACTGGCACATAAGGTTCTGTCCACCGAGAAATCAATGCCATACTATAAAATCCTAAAATCAGCTTTAGAAGATATACATAAATAATTGAAGGAGTCTCAGTATCAAGATTTCCAGTTTTTCCTACCAGTCCTGTTACGCATAGAAAATAAGGGAGGGCTTGTAAGAGAGCTGTGAACTTAATTAGAGAAAGTAAGCTCAGTAACTATAGACATGTGAATAGGTAGAGATATTCCTTCTTAACTTGTACATAAAAGTAATTTGTCGTTTAGTAGATAATGGATATAAAGATAATATATTTCAATAAACTTCCCGAAGAACTGTCTTATGTTCCTGTCCTTAGTTGTAAATAACAAAGTATTTATCGTTCTACGATTCAATGCATAATAAAATAAAACTTTGTTTAGAGTATGAATAGGTAGTGATTTTTTAAAGTTTCCACAAACAATACCAATTAAAGTAATTAATGTGGCTCTATTACGTACCTACTTTTAAATCTTTAATGTCGTATTTGTAAAATGTACTTAATATGCTTAGTGATTAATAACATTTTTAATTTCTTCCCTCAAGTGAACTAAGGTTGTTTCAAAATTAATTTACATTAACGATCGTTTTACGATTTAGCAATTCTTTCTTCGGTTAATGTTTTGTTATCACATTTTTGTAAGAAATGTCGTGGTCAACTGTGATATTTTGTTAAATTTAATTCTTAAGTCGTACAGCGCGTTTTGAGTTCGTATATTTGATTTTTCTCCCAAAGTATGTTTGGATGATGTTTTCAGTTCCATCGACTGGTTCATTCGTTACATTATTTATTGTTTGTAAATATTAGATGCCTACGTGACTAGCGTAACTGAATAATGTTCAAATTCTTGTAATGTAAAACTTTAACATCACTTATGTTTTTCTATATGTAAATTTATCTGTGCAATAGGATGTGGCCTAATTTTTTCATACTCTGTCTTTCATTTGTAAAAAATCTTTCTTTATCTTAGTTGTGTTATTTCTTTGTAACTAAATATAAATATGTTTATAATCGTTCATTCCAATTTAAATGAGAACTCTAGAAAAGTATGCTACTTGATCATTTAAATTATTGTATTGTATGAATAAAATGTATTAAATTTGAAAATTGGTGAAGATGATAAAATAAATTATGAAGATACACTTGCGTTTTCATTGAAAAATGCTGCTAAAGAAAACTCTAAAATTGTATTTCAAGAAGTGCCAATACCAAATCCAACGTAAAATAGAAATCGAAACAACCACGTCTAGCCATTGGGAAAATAATGTATCTGCTCACGAAAGTTGGTAAATTCGGAACTATTCTTTCGACTGCAAGCGCCAGCCCGACGCCCGGTTTGATGGCAGTATTGAGCGATGATAAATGATCGACGAAGCAATGACATGACAGCCAGCGAACCTGCGAGGGGCGCCGGAACCACGTGCCGGCAACAAAGGAGTGTCGAAAAATGCGAAGGTTGCCTTAGTTTGTAGGTCGCGGGCGCGTATCGGAGGCTGGACCTATAAATCATCGTGTCGGAATATTTCGCTTTATACACAGTTTTAATACAGACGTCAGGCCGTAGAAATCTGAAAGAAAATTTGTTTGGCACATAACAGTTGGTACAACTACTTGTCACAATATTAATTCCACCCATTCGCACTAAGCGCTTTGTTTCCTCCTTTCTGCTGCGTACGGCAAAGGACTGGAATACTCTACTCAGTAGAGTATTACTTTTCAGGAAACACAGATGTACTACATCTGTGTTTCCCGAAAAGTACAATTTGGGGCTGTTCAAGGCTAGAGTGAATAGGCATTTTTTAAGCAAACGCGTACCATCGTCGGTCACATCGTCGCTTAACATCAGGTGAGATTATGACCAAGCGTATGTCTATTATATCTTAAATTTAAAAAAAATAATTCAAATAATCTTTGTTTCATAGATAAGCCAATTACACTCTGGGTTGTGGCTGGTTCGGCAGGTGTCCATTGTGACGAAATCTCGTGTAAATCCCAGTTTTTGTATTTTACTACCTACTGACCAAGCCTAGTTCATCATCATCGTCACCTTTGCGTTGTAAATTTGACTATTTCACATCTAATGTGTCAACCTACGAAATTGCACTTGAAATCGTCATATTGATTAAACTCTACCTACTGCTCATACGTAAGGCAGGTTCCCCTGATAAGAATGGCCAAGAAACTTTAAGGGTTGCTCTTTGTAAGTAAACATTTGGACACATTTATCATTTACAATATTTATTTCAAACATCGAAGACCAAGACAACCTGTAAGAGATAAACGCGTCACTACCACGGATTTTTGTTATCCAAATATGCAGAAGCTGTAATAATAACCTTTAGTATAAATTATTTCACTGTAGTTTATACCTCCTCAAAATTTTAATTTTGAGTATCAACCGGAATCTTATTAAAGACGCGTAAGATTTGTTTTAAGTCCCTTATGCTATAAACTAACGCTCTACAATGAAAACTTTGGGATGCTTACACTCCCGAGGGCCCAAAGAGTTGCCAAATCCGATTAATATTTGCTTACAAACATTTTATCACTGTTATTTATTACCCAACCAATTTCAAGTAGCAGTTTATAATTAATCAGATTAAAAAAAACGCAATTCCAGACACCGATTCTCTTTTTAAAAACCTCCGCGCAAGTATTCGAACGATTCCATTTAGTAAAAGATACTACCCGATACAAGAATACTTCCAGTGGTATTCCTGTATCTCAGTTCGTATCGAAGAGCATCACAATGAGTAATATTATTAATGTTTTGCTGTCCGTCTGTAGCTGGACGATCACGAGATACCTTGCATTAAAGTATGTTCAATGTCGCGATTCATTTTTCACGCTGTGCGAACCTCATGTGTGACACTGTTTTGACAACTGTGATAAGAAAGCATGTTAGTGTTTTGAGTAATTGTTCAGTCATGTGTTTGTTTGATTTTAGAAATATATCATCTGTGGAAGATGTAATTTATAATCTCTAGTTTAAAAAGTTTCGTATTAAAAGTTTATGTCAGCAGAAAGACATTTGAAACTAAAAAGAAAATAAAAATTAAAAATGTGTCACTAATGTTAAGCAATATTGATTGAATTAAATTATAGATTTATAAAGTTTAATTAATCTTACAGAATAAAAAACCTAATTACAACAACGACACCTGTATTAGACACGAACTTATACTACCTACTGGCGTCAATTCGGGCGAGTGCAAACTAGACTTGAATAAAGTATTAGTTTAGTGCGTCTTTTTCGACGTCATTAAGAAAAGGATTAAAGGGTTAAATTTCATTTACCCTATTAGATAGTATGCGCTCGAATATACGGCCAAATTAGAGGAAGTTGTCAAAATTTTACATACTAAAAACCAAAATAAAACATCTCGTCGCTTTCTTTCTGTTAATAAGAGAGACCGATGCGGCGAACGTCAATTAAGTTTAGTTTGCTTTTGTCCAGATCATCACCACGGAACAACTAACAAAAACTTGTCCAATAAATCTCTTTTAAAAGGTCACAAAAAGGGAAATGTCTTGTAGTGTCCTGTTTAATTGCCTAAATTAACAATTAGTTCTACTTATTAACAACTGTTCTGAGTTCTATTAATCAACAGTTATAAACATTCGTAAATTTATACATTAATTTCTACACAAGACCAGTTGGGAATTTTTTCTTAAAAAAATGTTTCTTTGTTTGCGTTTCGGTGTATTATGCTCCATCGTCGACCTCATCGCAACTTTCAATCAGGTGAGATAGAGGTCAAATGCGCATTTATAATTTATAAAAAAAAAAGAAAAGAAATAAACCATTAATAATTTCAAATGACGTTACATTTATATGTACTTGTATTGACATTATTACTAATGAATGAGTTATTTTTTATGATACCAAGTGACGGAACGAACAAGTCGTGCGCTTGGTGGTAAGCGACATGCCTGACCATAACAGTTGCAGTACCCACTCAGAGCTTTAAATCACAAAGATCTGAGGGGCATTGCCTCCGTCATCCTGAGACATAAGTTGACAACTCCCATGTGCCCGTAATTTTACCAACCTTATTACCTTTCAAACGCAGCAATACCGAACTCATTTACAAGGAGCGCTACTGCTATCAAAAGTTGGAGAAGTAACATTTTTAAAAAGTTGACGAGAAAGATAAAAAACACCAAAATAAAAGGGATATTAGATTTTTTTTCATATCAAATAAAATTTTGTCATATTTGGTACCAGCAAAATGGTGTATTTGGCTGGTACCGTTAAACAATATTAAGAATTAAATTAAATGACATTTAAGGTAGAATTAAGAATTAATTTTGTAGGTATGTTTGTAATTGAAATACTTAACATAGACTATATATACTACGTTATATCAAATTTTAATAGTTAATACTTTATTAACTTCCTCCATAAGAACACTACATTACCAATGTTGTTTTTCATTACCATTTTCGTTATATAAATCATTTTTTTTATTGCGTAGTAGCTCAGAGATATGTATATTGGAAATAAAGTGACCAAACACAACATTAAAGGTATTTTCCTAAGACATTGAGTTTCATTGAAAACTGTCGAAGTGAGAAAATTCCCGCGTACAAATTCCTTTCTGATGGATGGAGGAAATATTATGAAAGGCGGAATACAATCGCACAAGGAGGACTTCATCAATCATTAGACTTCATTGCTATTGGGCAAAGTGTTTCTTTTAACATTTTGTTGTAATATCACATAGAAATTTGTTAAACAAAAGAGTTTGTGTAAATTTACGATTACTATGATTTTGATTGAAAATACGTGATTATATTAAAGAAAAGTGTATACAGAATCTACGACGACTTCCACAATCTTCAGGAGTTTTAAACCACAACCAAGCCCCGTGTGTAGTGTTTGGAGGGCAGTACGACTCAGTGTCAACCTTCTGGTTGTCTCTTGGCCCGCAAATTCGGAACGGTGGTGGGTTCAGAGAGGCGTTCAATATTTGCGCGTACGTTGTGTCTTATGTTGAGTGTATACAACACAAGACACACGTTTGCGCGCAAACGCATTCACGAATCTGCGGCCTCTCCTTGACGTAGTTAGCACCACTAACTATTGAAGTTTGCACCGGCGGGCGTTCCAGTAAAACAAAAAGAAAAAAGGGTGTGGATTACGGGATAACGGTTTGGTGTGTACGAAAATTCCAAGTCTTATAGGAGTAATATCTAGTAAGTATTTATACAGAGCGCCCTAGTAGGTATATTACTCGCAAATGGATTCCTTATAAGTACAAAAAAAAACCAGGCAACACGTTACATACATCAGTTTATTAATATTCTGGGTTATTTTACACTAATTTAGTAGCAGTGGAGCTCTTTGTGAAAGAGTTCGTCCAGGGAAGTACTGCCACCTACTACTACCTATTTCTTCCGCCATGCAATAATGTGAGCATTACTGCGTTCCGGTTTCGAAAGTTAAGGAGTGCTGGTGAAATTACTTTAATTTAATTAATTAAATTAAAGTAATTTCACAGTAATAAAAGAACTTCAATTAATTAATTAATTAATTAGGAACACGGGACTCGTCAACTTATGTCTCAGGGTGACGGGCGCTGTGGCTGTGCCCATCAGATCTTTGTGATTTAAAACTCTGAGTGGCACTGCAAGTGTTATGGACAGGTGTGTCGCCTACTACCAGGCGCACAACTAGTTCGTCCCGTCATTTAAGTATCATAAAAAATCACTAGAAATACTTCTTTAATTAAAATTGAGTACCTACTCAATATTTCATTTATCATGAAAACATACTTTATACGTTATTTATTATAATTAAAATTTAACTGGAGATAGGGTGTTCGTGTCTCTGTAATTCTTATTTATTTACTTTAGTGTATATCTAAATGTTAATTACATACTTAGTTGTAGATATTTTAAATCCTTCTAGGGTTTGAAACTATTACATCTTA